GGCGAGAAGCTGTAGGAGTCGGGCTTCGAGGTCGTCTCCTGGTAGATTGACGTCTACTTCTTGAACGCCTCCCTGGTGGAGAGTACTCGGGCGGGGATCTGTCCCTCCCTCGTCTGGGCTCCCGTGGTAACGCGCTTCGAGAGCGCCTCGCGCTGCGTGAGCGACCCATTGAACCGACAATGCCACCCTTGTAACTGATCTCGGGCCAAAAACCCTTTTCACAGCACAACGAGAAAGGTGCCGTAACAAAGTGGCGGGTGGACAGCACTCAAATATTCGAAGCGGCAAAGAGACCCGGCGCATAGCGAATGAACACCATGAGGAAGCAACGTAGCCGTAACAAAATGGCAGGTTCCGTGACAGGGATGGAAAAAGATACTCAACAGAAGAGAGCGGGAAGGAGAAAGAAAAACGAGGGAGAGAGAGAGACAGAGAGAGGGCGACATCAAGCACTCCGCATTGTCAATCCTAGCCACTCACATGCTTGAACCCCAGAATTACAGCACTGCACGCTACGCAGCATGCCAAGAAAGCGACTCTTGCATCAAGCGACATGCTCTCTCAGTGAAGTGCGAGCTCAAACAAGACGACAAAAGTGCCGTAACAAAGTGGCGGGTGGGCATTCAACCCTAGCAGCCCTAGCATGCCAATGATAACAGCAGTAAAGACAGAGACCATGGCGAAAGAACATATAAGGAAACAGAGTAGCCGTAACAAAATGGCGGGTGACGCAGCAGTAGGTGGAAATGAAGACTCAGTAGAAGAGAGTAGGAAAGAGAAAGGCAAGAGAGAGAGAGGGAGATATGAAGCGCTCCGCGTTATAAAATCAGACACCAAGCTACCCCTCTGCACGTGAACCCCAACCTGCAACAATGCAACAGCAACATGGAAAAGGCTGACTTGCCCCAAGTTGCAGTCACTTTTGGTAAATTGCGAGCTCAACAAGACGACAAGGTGCCGTAACAAAGTGGCGGGTGGACCGTCAACCCGGGTGTATGGCGGAAGAACACTACGAGGAAACAAAGTGGCCGTAACAAAATGGCATGTTCCGCAGCAGTGGGTGGCAAGCACGACTCAACAAAAAACAAGCGCTAGAGAGTGTGAAAGAGACAGAGATGGAGGCCCACAGCAAGCGTTCGGTGTTGTCAAGTCGTGCACCTTGCCACTCACACACACTTGAACCGCAAACTACAGCGTCAGAAGCAGCTGCAACATGTAGAGAAAGCTACTCTTGCCCCAGGCGACATCCTCTTTCATTCAAAGGCGAGCACAGTGCCGCGGCAAGTCTATGGTTTAAAGACTGCGAGAAAGAGTTGCCTCTGACTGACGTGCAGAAGGCTTCAAACCTACTGCAATGCACGTGATCTTGGCGATGGAGGATCGAATCAACCATCGCTTATGCGAAACGGCATGAACTACATCATAATAGTAGCCCGCAGCGATGTCCGCAGCCACGCCCCCATAATGTATCGTGCAATGATCAGGTTGTCGGCAGTATGCTAGACCACCAATCATAATCGACTTGACCGAGTGTATGTCCGCAAATTGCAATGAATGCATTAGCAATCATTAGCAGAGCATCCGGAGGGGGAAGCATACTCTCCACTGATAGTCTGACTGCGGCCTTCTGTGCCCTTGCATAGAATCCGAATGGTGGCAACCAATCCTGATCTTCGCTGTCAAAGATTGACGGTAATATTACATGCTCTGCCAGAATGGATTTGGCTGCTTGAGGATGTGTGGCATGAGCGAAATAATACACCGACTTAGCCCGTAGAATCCGAGGGCATTTGTCATCGTCATGCTTAAAGCATGTGACAACTCCGCATGGTTCCTTCGCAGCCGAGTAGACCACCTTGACGTCACTGATTTGAGAGCTCAAGCCTCATCACAACAGGAGAGTTTTCTTGCAGCAGGCACATAATTCTTGGAGCAGCCAGCGACAATCCCGAAACCTGCTGCAAGAAGGCTGGCAAGAAGACAGAATATCTCTCAGTCTCAGCCTGGCTATGAAGGTGGCGCCGAAAATGATCTACTTCCTCCCATTGCTTCTCACGGGCGTTTTTCGGACGACAGGGATCTTGAACTATAGCTGTGCGTACTTCCAGACTCCGAGCACAGGCCAAGTGACCTCCCGTAGTAAAACGGAAAGAAAAACTATAACCAGAAACCCTGAACCAACGTGTATGCCCAAGTCACATCACTTACACCAACACATGTGCCTGAGATGCAAGCCGCAGCGGTTCTGGGGACGCTCTTGTTTATCTGGACAGGTACCACAGTAAGCTTCCGCTGCAGGCAGCTCAATCAAACATGTGTGTCTCGACGTGACTCATGGAAACTTTGCCTAAGCCGTGATGATTTCGGCAGACAGGCCTTAATGCATAACTGCTACGCCGCTGACTCCAACAAGTGTCGACGCTCAGTCAATTGGTGACTCTTGTGTCCAAAAACAGGGGAGGGAGAACGGAACGAAGAACGACAGAACGTTTTTCCACGAAGGGCACCCAAAACAAAAATCAACCCGCCACCACCCTCCCGAGCGGTGGCTCACGACCAACGAAAGGTGAAAAGGGTGCACGAGGAGCGAAAAGATGGAGATTTCCGGGGGAGAAAAATCGGAAAAGGAAAAGAGAGGTCTGGATACCCCATGCCAGTGAACAGAAAACGAACGAACGAAACGAAAAGAATTGATATCAGAATGCGACCGAACTCCATATGCTGACCGACGGCCATTCATTGGAAAAGCCGCTCAGTCATGAGGCTGAGCAGCACTGATTGTTGTCGTTTATTGTTCAAGTTTGGGCAAATACTAGGAGATCTAAGCATCCTGGACAGCGTCTGTTTTTGCACCTGCTTCATGAACCATTAACTGTAACCCAATCATACCAAGCTCTCGGCAGTTTCAACCCTGCGCGTGAAGCTTCAAGAGTTGGCAAAACCCAACAGCAGAAGCCGGAAAAGGCGACGACATACCCGAGCCCTAAAGTCACGAGGTGCATACTGCAGTCCAAGGGTCAAAAGTCAAAACCCGAGAAATACCAAGGCACATACCAAGGCACCGAGGCACAACACAGCGCTAGCCTAGGTGACATCAAGCCCAAAAGGCACCGAGGCACATACCAAGGCACCGGGCGTGAAATGCCAAGGATCAGAACAGTTGACTGCTCCAGATTCCCTTAGGCGCATAATGAGGCCGAAAGTCACCGGAACTCATACCGCGTCAGGGCACTAACCCAAGTCCCATCAAGCTCGAAAGGCACCGAAGCACCGCCCAAGGCACCAAGTGTAAAGGCACCAAGGCGTACGCCAAGGCACCGAGGTTGATAGCCAACTCGTGGTCAGATCCGAGGCACTGGTGGTCACCAGCTATCTTGCGGTGTAGCCAAATTGGCCCCAAGTCACGGAATACTCGCCAGACTGACACCCGAACACTGAAGATCATACCAAAATGAAGTCGCGATTGAAAGGGCGCCCAAACACATGAGGCGACGCTTCATCGCCACAAGGTATATACCAAGGCACAGCGAAAACGACAATCATTGAATGAATGAGTAGGCAACAGTCACAGACTTTGCAGACAGGACGCAATCTCAGCTATGCAGTGGAGAAAGTACGAGAACTGTTCATCTCGAGATCCTTTCGGCCCGAGGGCCTAACCGAGGGAAAACCCCCAAATTTGTGGCGTTTGCCCGTCCTCCCGTCCCGGTACCTGTAGGTAAGTACGAGAGTAGACCAAACGACAGGACAAGGAACGAGCGGAAGAACAGAAGCAACAACAAACGACGAACAAGAAACAAAGAACCACGAAGAACAACGACGGACAAAACAGGAGGCGAACAATCGACGGCAAGACGGAAGATCTTGGGACATATGGGTACTTTGTGACTGATGTATTGTACCAGTGTTGGCTGCTTTTGCTTTCGCTTCTTTCCGCTGGTACTTTGCACAACAGTGCTGACCGGGAGGTAAACCTTCTATTTCCTCCATTGCCCCGAAGGGATCAAGACGGTGCACTGCTGGGCCCTCCGCCTATGGGACATAAGTCCTCACACTGGAGTGTTCTGATGGAATGTCGCCGGTAGTGGTCCCAATAGTACAGACCTCAGCAGTTGGGAAACCTGTCAGGGCTTCAGCTCTTGTCGGCAAGCTGCTCTTATAGAAGTGGTTCAAGCAACAGCGATGACGGTAACAATGCACAGCGAGGATACTGCAGTACATCACGAACCACTGCAGGTAACATGTACACAATTGGACGTCTCCAACTGCCTCACCACGAACCATGGGCGTCTTTGTTTGCAGGAGACCCATGGCCGTTCTACTGCCCGCTAAAAGTGCCATGCGAAGTCTGAATGGAACTTCCGTTCCCCCTAGTGCCGGGTCGGGGGTGCTCACACGCACGCACAGACAGGGACAAACAGACAGACGGACAGACCGACCGACCGACAGACCGACCAAGCGACCGACAAACAGACCGAGCGAGCGAGCGACCGGCCGACAGACAGACACGTACACATACACACAAACATACACACACACACATACACATGCCCCAGTTCTCCTATCACTGAATGACTAAATGTAAGAAACCCATAGTTCGTACCGCACTGCTGGGGGAATACAGGTTCGTTGATAGAGGGGCTTCTTCTTAAGGAAGGGTCCTACTGCCTAGGCTGCGGTGTTGACGATTACCATAAATACATTTTTCGGGAACCCGAAGGAATAGTAGTCAGTATTCAGATCCCTCAATTGGACAGCCTCATCCCTTAAACCCTGTCTGCTCCGAATCCTCCACAATTGAATCCTACACTTACACCCCAGACTTGAAACCCTATATCATTCCTCCTTGAAACCCTAACACTTCAAGAGCCCTAGTTGCAAAAAACCCTGTACCTTGTAGAACCCAAGACCACGCCAAGACCCTATTCAAAGCAATCCTTGTCCAATAAGCACTCGCCTGAATCCTGAAACCCTACCCTGAGCCCTCAGGGATTCCGGACCACTGCATGATCACGAGCCCCGTGTAGCACGTCGTCCTGGAAAGTTCGGCCACACAGCTGGCGGCCCTGGCAGGGTGGTATTGGCAGTTTTCGAAAACAAAATCAGCGTTCTGACTTTTGCGGGCGTTTGACTTTCAGGATTTTGGTGGTGGTTCGGGCTTTTGCTTAAGCTGTTGAGTTTGGGCGAGGGGTCTTGGCTCATACAATTCACGTCCGTGTTGAGCATTGGTCTTGGGATTTAGGGTCTAAGGTTTCATTTTGGGCTTCACGTGGGCTGACAATAGTCAGGGCATCAGATCGTGTCATAGTCCTTCTGCAGCTTGCTCGGAGCTCGTTAGAACGATCGAAAACTCCCTTGTCGACGAATGCAAACTTCAAACCCTAAGCATGAAACCCTTGCACCAGAAACACTAAACGTCAACTCCGCGATGTCAGATCCGCTTGGCCAAACACGCTGGGAGAACAGGCCGGCAGCATACTTGGCCTTACGAGCAGGGCCGTCGTGCTTTCTTGCATGGTTTCAGCACTCTTGCATGGTTTAGGGTCTTGCAAACTCGGGGTACTGCAGAGTTAACATTGGGTTCCTTAATTATTTATAAACTAGTATTCAACTAGTCTTGCTTAAACACCTACTTGATATCCAACAAGTGGTCAATCTGGAAATAAACAGCTGTGTCTGTATGGCTTTTTATCAAACACGGCACCTATTTCGTGTTTAGGTCATGCGACTGAAATTGTGTGCGTAAAAACAATGAACAAGCAAACCATTTTTACATGCTTCAGGCTTGGCAATACCAGTATTGCCGTATATTCAGTGACATTCATCACGGGGAGTTCTTCGGGCAACCAATATGGAATGCAACTAGTTGAAACTCAAGAACAAGATCAACCGTATAAAACTGTTATTGCACCGATGGCAAGAAACTACTCGGTGCAAGGCAAATAGCAATGTGACAGCTAGTCTGATACCTAAGTCATGTTTAAAGAAAATGTCACGACGACTTAAGGATTCACAAGCACCTACTCACCAGGTTATACATTGCACATGTTCTGTCTCCGCCCTCAAGTAGTAGGCGATGTTTCGCTCGCTTCGAAGTTACGAATATCTCCGGTGTAATGAAGCAAACGATACTCAACATCCCCGGACATGAAAAATCACTTAGCTGTTGCGCTTCAAAGCTTCTGATCTTGAAAAGCTCCAATGGCTAACTCTCAAACCTGTCTCAATATTGGTTCGTCTCGTGCTGATCTCAGTGAATAACGGTTAAATAGTCGGTGGGGTCCTGCTTATGGTACGTGGGAACTATGGACTAGTCATCGAATTGATCTTGCTTCGAACTACATTGTATCTATTTTGGTTCAACACGTACAAGACGTATTGCAAACATACTGAATGGTTGGTTGGTGTGAACACATAATAGCACAGAATCCCATGTTGCAAATGTTGGAAAAACTGCTAATGTTGAGAGTGTAGAGAATACTTGTGGTTGTGTACTCGAGTTGGATACATGCTTATCTATGCAATATGTATAATGATTCTGCTAACGGAACATGTTGGACATAGTAGTTGCACATATGAAACAACCTCTAAGTTATCACTCGGTATCCCAAACGAAAAGTAGATATAGAATACCGGATGCTACCGATTAAGACTTGCACGATGAAGATTGGACACTTCGCGAGTGTTAAAGTACCTTGCGCTGCATTCCTTACATTTCGTTGTCAAGGAAACAGTCCCCCACCTACTATAGTCTGTCCTCAACAGAATTTGGGTTAAAGGTTGGCATCAACCTCCAACCCCTGTAGGCAAGCATCTCCGTGCGGGCAACCAAAGACCGGGGTGTGGGCGCGCTGTTGGCAATGCAACCCATACATAACCAAAAAGACACCAAAAAACAAACATACGTCAAACAACCCAAACAACCTAAACAAGCCGAACATCGAACTTTCAGGCTCAGAAAGGGGCCATTGTTTGACAGTTGGGATCCTGGAGAAAGGCAGACTTCCTCAGCCGCAGACTTTGTTATAAGGGCTCAAATTCAAGCTCTCATGGATTTAGAACTTGAGCCCTAGACCTCAAAGGTCAGAGTTGAAGATTTCGGGCTTCGAGGGCGCAGGATTCTGGGCAACGGCGTGGACGAACTTTGGGTTGTAAGTGCTCTGACGGTTGTGCTTGTTGGTTTCAGGGAAACAGCATTTGGGTTTCCAACATGTGCTCTAGGGACTCTAGGGCATTGGCTGATGTAGAGGCCCGAACAATCGGAAAAAGGTTTTGGGCATATGGTATCTGTTTACGTACAGACGAGAAGAGGATTCATTGTTGATTCTTCATGCCTTCACATCAGTTCATAGGGGGTGCGAGTTGCACGTTGCAACTTGGGATTTGGAGCGAGTCGCGGTCAGACCTGAATGTGCTTGCGAGGAATCCAGATGTACTACTGTGCGGGGCTTGGAAAGTTTTCAGTGAGATGGGCTGTCTCGGCTGGGGATCGTTGTCTTGAAGACCTTGAGGTTTGTTTTCACACCGTTTTAATCAGTGAGGATGCCGGAAACCCTGGCCAAAAGCAGCCAGGTGGCGTAGTACAAGCGCGTGCGGCGATGGGATCACAAAGCCTGCAATAGCTTAAATAAAGTGTGGCGTACTGTGTCACGGCTGAGGGTTGCTCATGATCCACCAACAGACTAAACTTCCAGGCAACAAGGGTTCTAGATTCTAGAGTCCGATTTTTGATCGGGCCCCTCAATCTCGGAAACCCTTTTGCAACGGACTTGCCAATGTCCCTAATCGCTGAACCTTAAATCAAGAAGCCAGCAAAATGCTGTTCGGTGCCCCAAAATCCCCGAGGTAAGATCCAGATATGTTTGTGCTCTGTGGAGTCCCCAGTGAGAATCAACCTCCAATCAAGAGGCCTTAATCATTCACGTAGGGAGACTGGGTGTACGAATCGAGTTCTGTAGTAGGGACAAGAAGGGGACATAGTTGCGAAGTCTCCAGACCCAAATCACCCGAGCAATGCAATGATTGCTGCCTGGTTTGAGGGCTTTGGGTTTATGGTGGAACTTCGAGTTAAGCGTTGGGTCTTCTTTTGCTGCCTGCATTGCTAAGGAGTCGCTAGCGAGGACTAGGGTTTTTTCCCTCTCGCATGGCTGAGGACGATGCTCACGGCGAGGTCTTATTGGGGACAGCATATCGCAGCATGCAGCTATACAATCTTGTTTGGCGATGCTTTCAGCAAGGCACTCCAGATCAACCTGAATGCCTCACTAGGGCTACGATGGTCTAAAACCTAAACCCTATACACTCCATCTAAGCCCTGAAGCCAGGTTCAGGGTTCGGGATTGATGGCTTAGGGCAATCTAGACTCTGCGACTTAGGGTTGATACCGTGATACAGGCGAAAAACTTCGTAGAGGTAGCCCAAGATTTCTTGCAGTTCTACGCTTCAAGAACCCTTGCAGGCTGCAAGCCCCAGGGTTTATGGTTTGGGCGCTAGGATTCAGTGGTGTAGAAGAGAACATTGAATCTAATGGACCAGCCTGAAGAGAAACACAATGTAGCACTTGGGTGGGTTTCATGGTAATGATCGTAGCGACGAAAACTAGAGTACTAACTATTCAGGCCGAGGGACCATGATAGAAGATGCTCGCAATACTTCGGTTTGGGTTTGCTTTTCGGTGGGTATCTTATACTAACCCTATTCACGGGTTTAACGGGCTTTAGTAACTTTAGTACTTAAGGTTCTACATGCTGTGCATGAAACCCCCAAGTCCAAAACGAATACACGGATCTCACTCCCTAAGCCCGGCAGGCCTGGTAGAGGCATTCATTTCGGTACTGTTGCGAAACAGGAGAGACCTCGGCGGAGTAAAAAAAGGCCAAGTTGCACCGGGCTAACATGTTCATATGGGTTCTAGAAGGGCGCAATTAGAATCACACGTTGCTGTGTTGTATACCGTTTCGCAGTGTTGAAGATTCGGCACTTTAGGCTTTGGAAGTTTTTGCGGGCTTGAGTTCAGGTGATAGGGCTTTACGGTGTTGGGCTGCAAGGGGTTTACGGGTTTAATGCTTGGAGTGTAAACACATGAGGATTTAAGGCCTTTTGGGTAAATTAGTGTGGGGTAAGGCGATCTCTCCGAAGCGTGAAGAGCACATGCGAGCTGAGGTATCTCTAGACAAAACTACCAAAATCTGCCCTGACAAATATTCGAAGGAGCCCTACACCGCCGAAGCCCCTACTTCAAATGAAAGTCTCTCCAGCCCACTCTCCATGTAGCCTAAATCCCTGCAAGGGTTCTTCTAAGCGGTTCTAGAGGGGATACTATGGGGGATCTGAAAAGCTCCCAACTTGCGATAGCCATGGATTTTGGTAGGGTCAAGGGTTAGGGCCGGTTAGGGTGGGTTTAGTGCGTAGAGTCTAGGTCTCTAGATTGGGGTGTAGGGTGCGGTGTCGGGTGTAGGGATAGAATATTAGAAGGCTCAGAGAAATCCTGCAAAGCCGGAAACCCCAAACTTGAGATCCCGAACTCTATAGTGTTTGGTTGAACGGTAACTTGGACCGGGAAAGCTTAGTTCGGCCTCCTGGCACTCGTGCGTCCAGGGCTTCGGGTCTACCCAAACCGTCAAGGGTTCCATGTTGGGATTGAGTCATGGGGGTGTCATGCTTCCACCCTACTTCCTGAAAGGAGGGGTTTCGTCCAAGATCCTAACCTGTAAATCCTTAAGCCCACACCCTCAACAAACATAGAAGCCTACATAGTTAGGCTCGGGCATAGGGTTTGGAGGGTTGATGCACTCCTGAATACAGAAGAGGGAGCCGTAAGTCCCGGCGGCCCCTACAAAAAATCCAAAATCCTAGATCCTTCAGCCGAAGCCCTAAACTCTTGGCCTTACTTCCTAGATCCTGAAACCTCAGCACCATGAAAGAAAACCCAAAACCCCATGGACCTTTCTTTACCTTGCCTTTGGACCCAGACTGCTGGGAGGCGAAGCTTTGCGCCCTACAGGGTGGCGCTTGGCTTAGTAGGATGACCAAGCAGCTCCATATGGGTACTATACAGGTTCTGTAAGGTTTTTTTTGGCTTTTCAGGGTTGGGGCTCATGGATTTGGGGATTGGGGGTTCAAGCTTCAGGATGCTTCGAGAGTCCTTGGACAGCCCCTTGAAACCCTCAAGCCCCTCAAGAGCACTAATGTGAACTCTGTACAGCCTGCCCTTTACCTTTATTTTTTTCTAACGCACCCTTTTCAATTCATGTGGTTTACACAATTTCTAAGCTGACGTTCGGGTGGTATGTATTCACACCACGTAAACATCAACATGTGTATATTATTCGTTGAACTACAACTGACAAAGTAGTCCAAGGCATATTCGACTATTTAACAGGTATATAGCAAATAGCATAAACCAATATTTCGCCTCGTGTTTCAGCAACATGCTTTGTTGCTGAAAATCACCAATGATGACAGATATCCGATAGTTAACTTATTCCTACAGCAATACCCACTTGATGGGTACTCTTTCAAGGCGTGGTAATTAAGCATTTACTCAAGCAGGGATGTTGAGTATCGTTCTTTACATTGAGAGAGAAATAGCCATAACTACGAACATGCAAGCCAGCTTTTGATTCAGTACGAACTCATAACATGTTCGGTAAATCACCGTTGCATAGCCTCAAAACGAAGTAATTCGACTGAGTTGCAAATGCTCATGAAATACTCATGCAACATGACTTAGATACTGGGCTAAGAACCACGGACACTACCAGTGTTGTATTGAATTTATCTTAAGAGCAACCAAGCTAAAATCATGCAGTAGCAAATGCTTTTGCTACTTGTACCTGGAAACATAAATTGCGCGCGGATCATTGCGACAGCAAGATGGTAATCAAGCAAAGTTGCATGACTTGAGGCAACATCTCGATATCAAGGTAGTTGCAGTTGAAAGCAAGCCTTTCGCGCGTCCTCACAACTGGGTGGCTCGACGGCCCTAGCTTTCCGTACGAAAATGCATTGCTGCTCAACATGGCACTTCATCTCATGAAAAGCTACGAAAAGCTATCCTGGAATTGAGCATTCGGTTTGGGTGCCGCGCACGTAGGTGGATAACATACCAACAAAACTGGTGAGCGCCAAACTTTTGGGTTTTACCGTGGTTTCGACTCTTCTACTGACAAGCATTCGACATGCGTGCTCTGTTTCCAGCAAAGGCAAAGCAAACAGGGCTCCGGGTCCAAGGACTTAATAATGAGATACTCACCGACACGCTTACCTGCATTACCACTGCTAGCCCCAAGACTCTGTGGACCCTCAAAGCGACCCCGCAGCAAAGGCCCTCGAAGCCCTCTCGTTGGTTTGGGGCCCTGGCAAGCAGCAAACATCGACAGTGTACGGTTCTGTCCAGCACCTGCGCGGGAGCTTGATGGTCTCTGTTATCGGTTTGCAGTAAGCTTACACGTTTTGCGCAAGTTCCTTTTCCATAATGGGGTTCTGTTTCGCATAGGGGTCTGGCATGTGTCATCTATGAGGTGCCTTAACAGATTTCGGGCTGAAGGTTTTTTAGATTCAGTGGCTAGACTCTTCAGACATTGGAGGATTCGACTTTCACTCGTGCACGAGGCAGGCAAGGCTCCTGTGGCAGGTTTTCAGAGCTTGGGAATTCAGTTTTTTCTGAGCAAGGCCTGCAGCGCACGTTGACATTGCCCTAATCATCCCTAATCCTTCAGCTGCCGCAAAGTTTGCAACACTCCTAAACCTTATCCTCAAGCTCCTCAACCCGACCAGGATTTTTAGAAGTATACGAGGCAATCATTGGACGGGAATGCGATTTAAGCCCTGCAGGTGCCAACAACACGCGCAAGAGCCTGATCCAGAAAACTCCCAGGCCCTTATCGGACCCTTACAAATCCCGCATGAAACCCTTTAAAGTCCCTTCGGGACCCTCTACAACCATTATGGGAGCTGGTTAATACTCAACCTATTCTCCATCAGTGCTGTTGTTTAAAACTCTTTCTTGGGTGGCCCTTTTCATCTGCCGAAGCATCCGCATCCCACATTGTTTCACGGTTTTGTTTCAGAATTTAGGCTTGGCGGGAATCTTCGGAAGTAGCCTCAAGGCCTATGACATCATCTCTATCTTGTGTGCGCAGAGTTGTGAGATGATGTAACAAAGGCTCTGGCTGCCCAAATGCGCTCGTGCAGAGGACAACTTCATCAAAACTCAGGCTTATGTCTACGTGTGGCTCTCACGCAAGCAAGAGAGCCCTGGACCTCGACCAGCAATGGCTCCACTCTGAACTCTAGCAAAAATCTTGGGCCCAAACTGTCGGAGCCAGCTTCGAATCCCTTCACCCGATGATTGAAACAGAGTTAACAGGGGCTCTTGATGGAACTCGTGGACATTCTTACTGCTTACTTAGATCTCTACATTAGCTTGCCAGAAGACCCAAGATTGCAGAACAGCATGACAATCTGCTAAATAATTCGGGATTTTCCACCCGTTTAGAGTAGACCAGTGATTATTTCATCCCGTGCCACTTCAAGGACCCCAACATTTTGGGATCCCTAATGACGGGAAGCCTGAAACTTTGTTATCTGCCCGGACGCAGGCTTAGCCGCTTGCTCGAAGAAGTTGCAGTCGCAGCAAAGAGATTCCGTCAAGATTTCGTTGAAACATGCCTCGGGCTCTAAGCGTTGCAGTCAAGATTAACCCGAAAAATCAAAAAACCCTACAATTGAAACTCTGCAAAACCCTACGCCCAATACGTTAACGGCAAAAACCCCTGTTGCTGAACCACACGGCTTGAGGTTTCGGGGTTTCTGGTTGCGGACCTGTCGTTCCGTACCGCTCTGACCGCGATTGTCCCATTATTGCCAGCCGGTCCGTGCGGACGCAAACAGCACGACTCATTGCAATTTCATTATATACGCACTTTGGCCGTCAGGGTGGTGTCCCGGTAGTGTCCTGCTGGTCGGCATGGTGGTCCTGGTGGTCCTGGGGGTCGTCGTCGTGGTCGTCATGGTCGTCGTCGTGGTGCTCTAATCAGTTACATATAAACAAATGAAAATGCGAAAGTACCACGTACTCAGATAGCACACAAACAATACCCTGAAGTATCGCGTGCACTGCTCATTCAACCTCAGATCAAGGTAACCCTGACAGTCACGGAGCACCTCTTTCCGTAAAGTATCGCCTGCACTCCTCACTCAACCTCAGATCAAAGTAACCCTGAAAGTCAC